TACGAGAAGAAGTCATTCCAAGAGGTCAGTCAATGATAAAGTATTTCTACATGTACTGTATAGTTGATAATTTTGAGGTGTCGACAAATTTGATAGCATTTTGCCAAAATAAAACCTGCCATTTTGAATCTTTATGCACATGCTTTATTGTATGCCTACATTATATTATAATTAATTTTCCTCTCTGTGTCTCTGTCTGTCTGTCTGTCCGTCTCTCTGCCTCCCTCCCTCCCTCTCTCTCTGATTAAAACCTGCCAATCACCATAAATTTAACAATTTGTCAAAATCTTTATTTGATCAGTTTTGCCTAAATTTGGATTTGCAGTCTCTCTCTCTCTCCCTCATGTGAATGATGTACATGTGTTCTTGGCATGAGGGGTGTGGTCAATCTGGCGGCACATACATTTGAAATTATTTTCTCCACTTAATAATACAAATTATTTATTAATAACTAATATGTATATGAAATAATTACCAAAAGTCTAATCTGTTTTCAATAGTTTTATAATAAGGCAAAGAATAACAAGTTTGTTTATGTTTACTGTCTAGATATAATCTCCTTAGTGTATCATTGGTCCTGAGAATTTCCATCAGTACCAGTACTCCATCAGTATCAATGTTAGTACCGAAGAGCCAAAGGACAGACAGTGTGTGGTTGTAGAGTAAAAGCTCAGCTAGTGACTGAGCACTGGTTGAAGTGATGTCAGGATTATATTGAAGATATAAGCGAGTAATTGTTTTATTATTAATTAATGATTGTGTTAGTGCAATGACTCCATCATCATTGATGGAATCATCACTGATCACTAGAAACTCTAATGAAGTATTGTTTGTTATTTTGTGTGACAGTGAGAGGATGACATCATTTGTTATTTTAGTGTAATGTATACCAATCCACTTTATTGTTCTTATTTTTAGAGCTAGTGATATCAGTAGGTATACAATATCAGGTGATGAGTAATAGAGGGAAATGTCCTGATGACTGTCCGTTAATTGACTGATCACTTCCTGACATTGACCTGCTGATGGTTTAGTGAGGGTTACTCTACTGACCACTGGACCACTTCACCTCTCCAGTCTCTTCTCCTAACAATAAACACAGTCAGTCAGTTAATGTGTGTATATTATTATTTTAATACAGTATAATAGGTAAAATGATAATATTATATTATTTTATTAATGATGTTTGTTTGTGTGTTGTTCCAGGTGATGCTGGTTTTTGTACCAGTAAGTCATTACAGCTGCTAGGATGGAATGGGTGTGGTCTATCATTACCATATGATAGGAAACAAAAATCAATTGTACGTTTTATTAATGTATTAGAATCAATAATTATAGTCCTTCCCTCTCCTCTCATTCTCTCATTCTCATCCTCATTCTCTCTCTCTTATTCACTCTCTCTCTCATTCTCAATCTTTCTCATTCTCTGTCTTTCTCATTCTCTCTCTCTTTTTATAGTCCTTGGTCCATTATGCCAGCTAGTCAACTTCAAAGCACAAGCTAATGTAAGCATATACCATATACAATATCTGGTGATTATCTGTTTTGAATTTTTGCATTTACCGTAAATGATATTTCTCTCTTTTCATTCTTTCTCTTTTTTAGAGTAGAAGATTCTATATGATAACTTACAATTTATACTGACTATGATTTTTGGTAATTTTATTGTGTTTTGTGACTCTTTTTTTATAAAGTTTTATTGTCAAACTTAATCACTGGCACTTCTATCAGTACAATGGGACGTGAAAGTGTCTCTGTTATACAGAGGTGTCCTTTGTGTGGAGGTTATTTTATACTGTAAGGAATGTAATTGGTACACTAGGTGCAGTCCATTAGGAGGTGTGCACTATAGAGAGTGTTTGTTAATAGAGTGTTAACTGTATTAATGGTATATTATGTGTTTGTATTAATATTAGTATCAAATAACTCACCTCCACCAGTTAATAGTATTTTTTTTATTTGAGTGTGTCCTCCTTGCTTAGCTATCTCTACTGCACTTGTAGTAATGACTACTATGGGTGTTATAGCGATGGACAAAGATCTATTACTCCAAGGTTCAACAAAAGACTATCAACCAAAACAGAACGTGTGTGTGTGGGAGTCACTTAATTAATAATTATATCATACATTATTAACAGTTATTACATACAAAGTACACTATTAGTTCTTTAGCATTACTACACACTCTTTCCTCTCTCATCTTTACTATTAGGATCAGCTCCTAACTGCAGTAACATTGATACTTCAAAACTATCACCAGCTTTAACTGATTCATGAAGCGAAACGTCAAAATTGTCATCTTCTCTTCTGATAGGAATCACTTTATTGTCAACAGCAACTTCCAATATTCCTAATCTACTCATTGAGTTTGTTTTGTTATTGATAGCATCAATAAGAGACTGTGATAGTGAGGTTGGTATTATCAGTGTAATAACAAATGAACCATAATCAAAGCTGATGTGATTGAAGAGATCTGATGTTACTCCAAAGTAATGCTTGAGGACTGTCTTAAGTTTACTTATTGTCATTTCTTCCCATCTGTCATTCAGTTTAATAACGACTGGTTTTGTTTGATCACTAGTGGTTGGTGAGGCTGCTGCTGGTAATGATGACAATTTCTCTTTGATTGTTGATCGTATGTGCTTCAATTGTGATGATTCTGAGAATTTATCAACACTATCAATGTATTGAGTTAGTTTGGTATGAATATCATCTGATGAAGTGATAAAATGATGTACTAAACTTTTGATCAATCCAAAATTAAAAAAGTCATAATGAGGTCTAATTGCAGTAAATATAGTGCGCATGTTGATTTCTGATAATTTTAAGTCTTGCCTCAAATATTCTTCTGCATGAACTGCAACCTCGTCAGCTTCTAATTTCTCACTGGAAACAAGTTTACTGAAATATGTTCTTATTTTAGTCACAAGAGCAGTAAACTGCTCATGTAGTGATTCAATATTGCAAGCAACTTCTTCCTTTGAGCTGAGTTGTATTATAGTGGGATTAGCTTGAGACTGAGCATGCCTTGGTTTGGGTGCTGTTGGTGGAGGAGATTTTAAATCTTTTCTTGATGAACCTACATGCATTTAGATTGTTATACTATGGTTTTATATCACTAATTTTACCTGTTATTATTCCAGATGTTCTCATTTCATGTAGCAGTGTTGGATGTTCTTCAAATGCTCTTATAAGAAGAGACATTCCTTCATGATCATTAACAGCATTTCTAATCTTTCTTATAGTATCAGCATCAAGCAGTGGTAGAGACTCCTCCAGTTGTCCTTTGATCAATAACTCATGAAACTCTATCAATTCAGATACTGTTGGTCTATTATCTGGTATATCCATTAATGCAATAGGAGAGAGTGGAGGACCTATCAATGGCTTGTTTGTATCTGTAGGAGGAGCTGGTCCTATTGTTCATGAAAAATAAAAATAATTTACAATGTAATAATATTCATTGTGAAATACTCGAGGAAATACTATTAACAGTTTTCATGACACATACAGTCGTTACACATACAGTTGCCACTACAGTTGTTTACCATTGTACATTACGTACTAATTATAAATAAACTTTTATAGCTAAATAATATTGTACTCTTAGATCACATTAACGTAATAATTCTACATTATATACTAGGCAAAAAGTCTGTAGTGATTATTTCAATTAGATTAAGTATTATATAGTATTCATGCTACTTACAAATTATTGTAGCAAACTAAATTTTATATATGATTTAACAATTCAAAGTAATGTAACACTCACCAGTAGCAGTACTGTGTACATCATTGGTTCCTTTGATATCATTACCACTGATCATAGCATTACGTTCTATAGAATACACACACACACACAGTCAATACTAATACAATCAGTGATATTAACTTACTCTCTTGATCTAACTTGTCAGCTGCAGCATTCTCATTCATAGATTTAAGAGCATCTGACAGTGAGTCAAAGGTAGCTCCTCCTTTACTGTCAACATTATCAGCTCTGGACAACCACTTGGAGAGACACTCTGTCAAGATTCGAGATACATCACCAGGATGATTCCTTTCAATGGCGTCCAGTGTGTTCTTGTGTAGTCCTAGTGTCAGTCCTAGCTCATGCCATCTTGTCTGAGGGAAACCACATCTCTTCAACAGATTAAGTACATCAATAAGTTGCTCTAAAATCATATTTAATGATACAAACATGTAGATAGTTAATGAACATTACCAATAGTCAAAGGAGAAGAGAAGAGACTCAGAGAAGAGGAACAAGAACTGGTTTTAGTTGCCATTGATCAAAGAGCAAGCTAACCGGATGCAAATTTTGCAAAGATATCACAAGGGAGGGGCTCGTTTTGGGCGGGGCAATTATTGTTATTTTAACCCTTAATATGGCGGCATGGAACAGACAGATAATGATGAACTTTTAATACACGTACACAGGGAAGAGAGAAAGTTGATGTGATGAAAATGATGGAGTTACTAATGACAGCGAAATAACAGATGAGGTAGTATAAATGTACCTGTACATGTATACTAGTACATGAATTCTAGTAAATTTGTGAATTATACATACTGCATAATTATTATGAATTTGTGACCAGTGCATTGAGCATTTAAGATAATGATCCTATTATATATTTATTTATTTATTTATTCATTTAACTGTTTAACATGTTGACAGAATGTGATGGTGACTTATTATCAGTTAGTAGTATATTTATACTTTATTGTTCTCATCTCTCTCCTCCTATCCTTTCTTTCATTTTCTCTCTTGTAGGAGCTTGTAGCTTTAAAAGACTCTCATGTATTTAATGTAAGTAATGTAATGTAATGCTCTGAACTCACCCCCAAATTTTTATTACATTTTCTGATACATATTGATGTCCTTATGCTGTGTAGAAAGTTTGAGCTGATTCCGACTTCAATTTTTCAAGTTACGACCATTTTAAGAAATTGCTGTGATTTAAAAAAATACCCAAAACTATATATAGCCCATGGTTTTTTTCAAAAAATGGCTCCGAAATCATCCCAAATTTTTATTACATTTTCTGATGCATATTGATGTCCTAATGCTGTGTAGAAAGTTTGAGCTGATTCCGACTTCAATTTTTTGAATTACGACCATTTTAAGTAATTTTTAAATTTCTAAAAAGTACCCAAGGCTATAGCCCATGGTTTTTTCAAAAAAATGGCTCCGAAATCACCCCAAATTTTTATTACATTTTTTGATGCATATTGATGTCCTTATACTGTGTAGAAAGTTTGAGCTGATTCTGACTTCAATTTTTCAAGTTACGGCCATTTTAAGAAATTGCCACGATTTTGAAAAATACCCAAGACTATTCCCAATCATTTTTTTTCAGAAAAATGGCTTTAAAATCACTCCAAGTTTTTATTACATTTTTAATTATATCCTTATGCTACGTAAAAAGTTTGACCTGGTTCTGATTAAATTTTTGAGTTACATGTATGACCAAAATCAAAAGTAAACACATATGTACATGTACATGTAATCCTTTATCTCCATGTCTCTCACTATTTAGAGTGTTGATAGAAAATGTGTTTCATTTACCCGACACATTCCCAGAGACTCAAAGTATCTTGAGGTACATTATTCCACTCATCATCCTGCCCCTCCCCCACCTCCTCTGGTCTCTCGTACAGCTGTGTGTTTGGTACCAATACAACAAGGTTAGGACACACAGTTAGTGTATGTACATGTACATGTTTGTCCTTTTATGTTCTGCCTAATTTTAGCAACTTTGAAAATTCATAAAATCCAATTTTGATCAAAATTAGCTGCTCAAACTTTCTACACAATATATAAGTACTTGCATACATGTATGTATCAGAAAAAATTTATGAAATTAGAGAATTCTCTTCTTTTAATTTTTGGCAAGATTTGCCCAATGACTCTGTACTATTGTACTTGAGGGACTCATGTACATGTAATTTGACCTGATTTTTGAGCAACTTTAAAAATAATTTATAAAAAAATTCAATTTTGATCAGAATCAGATCAAACTTTTTATACATTATAAGTAAATGCATAATTGCAGATGTACCTGAAAAAAGTTATGAAAGTGGAGAGTTCTCTGCTTTTCATTTTTGGAAAAGTTTGACGAAGTACCTAAACAATATCTTTGGTTACATTTTACAACAACATTGTTATCCTCTTTGTGACCTCTTTTTAATAAATTTTATTTCTTATTGTATCTAGCTCTAACCACTAACAGTGTGAGCTGATGAAAATCAAATGGTCTCTAACGTCACTGGGTGTGGCTTCTGAACAAACCCGTGTAGTGCTATGGTACATAAAGGTTTCTCATTGGAGTCGAATCTCTGCTGTGAGTTTTGTTTCTATTTTTTAGATCACTGTGTCCTGATATTCTATTAATACTATCAATCACACCTTATTAAAGAGGATATGCGTGCTAAGTATAATTCATTGCAAAATTTATTCATTGCATACCGTAAATAACTTTCAAGAAAAAAATTAATTCGTTGGACGTCAGACTCTTAATAAACTTGACGTCCAACATGGCAGTCAATTTACTGTGTGGGTTGGATATATGGCACTTAGAAGTTATGAATATACTTAGTACGCATATCTTCTATTCTTTTATTATTCAGGCATAAGTGACAGACACATGCCTTTAAAAGTTCAAGAAAGGATGAAATTTGAATAGGTCTTTCTTTTCTCTCTTTCTTTCTCTCCCTGTCTCTCTTTCTCTTGACTAGCGTTAAATTTACCTCATTATTATTTTTATCATGATCCTTAAACTTGAGATTGTATTACTTGGCTGTAATATCTATGTACTGATTGGACTCATTTAATTAATGTGAGAAAATTTTTGCCATTTTGTGTAAATTGAAATAAATGGAACTATTTTCATTATTTTCTCCTGCCTCTTTATTACCCAGAAGATTATGCTCATAGTGAATTTGAATAATATATTATTGACACATTGTTATTATTTTTAATATGCCACAAAAGTAAGATGAGCTGAGAAAAGGTGGAGTTATAATGTATGGCTGTAGCTTTAAGAGTATGGCTGTAGAACTAACAATTAGTAATTTGTGGCACCTGTTTTCATGCATTTATTATCATTATTACCTCAAAAAATTTCACCAAATTCAACTAATGATGGTAAAATTAATTTTCTGTAGCTTGTGTAATACATGTACATGTAAGTTGTATTGATTGAAGTAAGTTCAGAAAATTACTGAGATAGTCTTAAACTACTCTGTCTTGTATGAGGTAATAGTTAGGATAAGTATTAATACAAGTCTCTTTGTGTCGTTCATCTAGCTTGAGTGTCCTTATCTTCTTATTATCCATTAGTGACTGGAGGATGAGTAGTATTGATTCAGTAGACAATGAAGTATACCTTAGATCCAGTTCAACTAGTGATGAGTTATTGAGGAGGAGGTGAGAAAAAGCCTGACCACTAGTAGAAGTGATGAGAGGATTACCAAAAAGAACTAATGAGGTAAGTGTAGAGTTGTGTTCAAGTGCTTGACAGACATTAGTAACTCCTCTATCACTAATGGAATACTCAATAAATAGTTCTTGTATTGTTTTATTATTAGTTAGTAGTATACACAAGTACTGGATACAATCATTAGTTAATGGAGTGTACCATATCTCAAGACTCCTCAGGTTTAGTGTATGGAGTTTCGCTGATGAAAGTAGAGATACTGTAATATTAGTAGATGAGGAGTAGAGTACAACCTCCTTATGATTATTATTAATATTACTAATTACTTCATTACACTGAACTGGAGATGGAGAGTAAAGGGTTACACTGGCACTGTACCAGTACACACTCCCAGTAACACCTAATTAAAAAAATTAATCATCAATACACATTGCACATATGTATCTACATGTAGTGAACTATATAAATGAAACAGCTGCACATTAATGGTTATATATTGTATACATGTATGAGATACCAAGGCAATACCATCTTAAAAAATAAATATTACCTTTATGATGTTGTTCCTTGTCTTGTCTCAGTGCAGATATTATAATAGGATCATCATTAATAGTCTCCAAGAAAAGAGAAACTTTCTCATCATGACTACACGAATCATTCCTTATCTTCTGTAGAATGGGAAGGGACACTTCTTCCACTGACAGTATAAACTCTAACAATTGAAGTGACTCCAACATTGAGTAAACACAACTACTAGGAATTAGTCCCTCATTACCAGACACCAAGGATCTTCCTTTCCACCAAAATTTAGTTTTAAATTTCTGTTGATATATCTCCAGCTTTTCTCCCTTATCAAATGATAATTCCTTAGTTCCTGTGGCATGATAGCTATGCTGAGCAATGAAAATAGATTCCATTGTAGGTTCATTCACTATTATCATATTAATCACCACAAAGATTTAAATTAAGTATTCACCTTTTACTTTATAAATAAATCCTTCATTCTTTTCTTTTTTACTTAGTATATGTACACTCAAAAATGATATCTGTTCTTGTAGTTCAGCTATTTCTCTCTTAATATCTATTAATGATTCATTCTGATCCAGTAAACCTATCATAGTATAATTATAATACAATAACATACATTAAGATTCAGTACCAGTTTCATTTGTTAATAATAATTGCAATTGTTCTATTTCCATTCTCATTCCTCTTTTGATTCTGTATGATGCTATAAATAAATAAATAAATATATAAATGAATAAATGATAATAATAATAATTTTAAAAAATAATGACAATAATACCATAGGGCGCCTTTTTTTGAGGGCTGTAAATTTTGCAAATTTGTGGTTTTTAAGATTTGTGAAATTTACTTTTAATTAGCAAAAATCAAATGAATACATACAGTACAGAATGGCAGACGGCATAAATTCATAAAAATTAAATCCGCAAAACTAAAGCACTCAAAAATATTAAGTCACCCACGATCATAATAATAATAATATTAATAATAATGATAATTTTAACCTGAACTAGTATTTCTTGGTAATGACAGAAGTTGTTTAATTTCCTTTACTCTCATTTCTACATTATTTTAATTATAATTAATAAAGTTCTATTATACTTACTTGTTAGTGTTTCTTCTAATTGCTTGTTTGTTTTTATTTCTTTTATTAATTGTTTATTAATTATTGTCACACTTGTGTCAGTTGATAGTATACCTGAAATATAGTAATTATTCATTAATTAATAATACTGGTCAACAATCATTACATTAATGTATTATTATACCTTGATTAATTACTGATTGAGGTGTTGCTCCTTCTGTTTCTTTCTCCTCCAGTCTTGCTACTCTCTCTTCCTATTAAGTTAGTTTAATAAAATAATCAAACACAAATTATTATACCTTTGTATCATGAGGTTGTTCCTTTGTCTCCAGTACCTCCTCTTCCAGTGGTTCCTGTATTTCCTTTATAATACAGTATAATGATAATTACTGACAGTATATATACACATACTTGTATCTTTTGTTTCTTCCATATTGTGCAGTATCCAACAGTAAGCTTCATTAGACCATTCTTTATTAATAACTCAAGATTCTCACTCAATTTTATAACGAGAGCTCCAGTGAGAGAGTGAGGGAAGGAGCAAGTGACCACAATGGAGTATCCAGTATCAATATACTTTATCTTCACAAATTTACCAGATGTCTTGG